AGTGTTTATGCATGTTTATGACAACTGTCATTAAGTGTCTTTCGCTCAATAATGACATGTTGAATGCAAATATGACATTGTTTAAGATGTCTTTGTTGGTTTATCATAACGCGTCAGTGTCTTTGTCATGACAACTTATTCGTACAAAAAAATGGTGAAAATGTATTTATTTTTGGCTGTTGACTGTATTTTCTGATTTATGGAGTAATAAAAAGAGATATCCAAAATCCCCCCCTGTAAAAAACCTTTGACTCTAATAAATTTATAAAAATATGAAACATGAATTTTGAACCTGGCTTGATCCAATGTTCAGATTTTTGTTCTAAAATAAATTACGCAAATTAGTGCATATTTAATTAGACAATGCCTCATTTGCATATTTAAACAACATTTCAGAAAATTTGTAATACTTTTTTTTGCAATTATTAATGTAATTAACTAAAATATGGTGATATCTGCTATTAGTTATTTGTTTAACCTATCCGCCTGGCGTGTCTTGCCTTAAAAATGTTAAATCTAATATTTTAATATTATTATTTTTGTAGTATTATGTTTTTTTTTTGTTATTATTATGTAAAATATTGTGAAATGTTATTAAATTATTTGTTAAATGCAGGATTCAGCACAAACATTTACATTACAACCAATTACCAATTTAATTTTGAATAGAACAGCAGAATGGGGAGAGTTTTTCCCCCCTCTTAGTTAAAGACCGGTCCATTCCCACTAATAGACTTTGCAATCAGAAAACTGTCTGTCGGCCGTCCAAACAGAACCGCCTCTCAGCTCCATTAATCTGGCAAAATCCATCAGAGAGCGTTCATCAGGACCCAAGCGAGCCGTCTGTCAGCATGCCTGTCTTAAAGAGACAAGCTCTGTTTGGGCCTGACAAACAAAAGACGTTATTTTGACAAATTGCCTGCAGATTAGGGACCTTTTTGAAAGCGGGGGCCCCCAGAGGTGGGCCTGGACCGAAACTGCTCCAGGTGTTTGTTTGTTTGTTCGTTTGTGTGTTTACTTGGGCTGAATGTGGGCCAGGGTTGAAGTGATAAAGCGACTGACAGAGCGAAGGGCCCCGGCTCTGTTGGGGACATGTAAAGATCAATGCCGGCCGTGTTTGTCACTCTGCATCAAAGAGAAGTGTGCAAAAAAACTCGACACTCATATGAGAAACGTTTCCTTTTGCAAAGTCTCGCCTTGCTTTGATTCAAAGTCAGCATGGATTTGATGCTTTTATGTGTGATTATTTTTGGGTTTGTGTGTGTGTGTGTGCGCTGACAAAATACACCCAGGAAAGCAGGAAAGTCTCGTGTCGGGGGCTGTTTCTATACTACATTTATCTACTTGCAAGAATCAGTCAGATTGTTTTCTTTTCGTGGAATCTGGTTGAATCAAAGGAGTAGTTCACTTTTTAAAAAAAAAAAAAACTTTTGCTGATAATTTCCTCACCCCCATGTCATCCAAGATATCCATGTCTTTCTTTCTTCCGTCGAAAAGAAATTAAGGTTTTTGATGGAAACATTCCGGGATTTTCTCCATATAATGGACTTCAATGGGAACCAAAGGGTTCAAGGTCCAAATGAGAGTTTCAGTGCAGCTTTAAACGACACCAGACGATGAATAAGGGTCTTATCTAGCGAAACGATCAGTCATTTAAAAAATAAATAAAAAAGTTTAAGTTTTATAAGCACAAATGCTCGCCTTGCTCTGTTCTGTGATGAGCGTTCGTGACTCCTGTTCGAACTCGTTCATCAAAATGAACGAATCTTTTTTCGAGTCATGACTCGAAGGGTCCTAGACAACACCTTTATTCATTGTCTGGTGTCATTTATAGCCCTTTGAAGCTGCACTGGAACTCTCATTTGGACCTTGAAACGTTTGGTTCCCATTGAAGTCCATTATATGAAGAAAATCCTGGAATGTTTTCATCAAAAACCTTAATTTCTTTTCGACTGAAGAAAGAAAGACGTTGACATCTTGGATGACATGGGGGTGAGTAAATTATCAGCAAAAGTTTTTCAAAAGGTTTCACATCAGAGGAGTGAGGTTTACCCGCACAGCAACTACTAGCTGGCCTCCGTTACACTATGCTATTACATATTGATAATGATAACATCCTTGTGTATTCGTTTACAGTAGCAGTTCAAATGTTAATGTAGTGCTAGTCATTTATCCAGCATTGGTTATTGATTAGTTTTACTTGAATTGTAAAACTTTTTCAGTAGTTCTCGCTATTGTAGTGCGCTATTACTTACTAGTTCATTAATCAGAGTTTCATGTTAGTTACTCTATAATAGTTACTCATTGGTTCTTGTGCAGTTATCCATTAACAAAGGAACCGTATATTCTAAAGTGTTACCGGTTAAACTTTTAAAACTTTCTTGAGACACGCCAAACGGTCGCCTCAAATCACCAGCTCTCACTGAAAATGTAGGCTTCCGGGAGCTGCAAATGAGCTTTTGAGGGCAGCTGCCTATGTGCAGTAGTCAAGCAGGCGCACTTGGTTTTGGAGCACAGCCTGTGTGTGTGTGTTTGAATGAGAAAGCTGATTAATTCTGTGAATAAAGAGCACAAATGCAATTCTAAGTGAGATGTTTTCCAGAATCCTTTCTTTTGACCTCCGTCCACCTCTCTTCCTTAGTTTATCTGTCTATCTTTTTTTTCTTCTTCTTTTCTATTCTCTGAATCCACCCCCCCAATTCCAAGCCTCATTAAATCCCTCGTCAGCAGCTCTACATCTCATCAGTCACTGCCTCATTTACACACGTCCATCTGTTGGATGCAAGATCACACACACTCTCTCTCGCTCACTGCTGAGATGCATTACAGACCCCGTGCATTGTTCCTGTTCCTTTGGTGTTTACGGTTCTGCTAAATTAGTTAAAACTCAGCTGCGTTCAGTTGGGAAAGGGTTATGTGAGCTGAATAAATTGATAAAAGTATTTTCATACCAGAATATATTTATATGATGTGATATAAATGATTGCATGACAAAAATAGAAAAGTTCTAGAATGAGAAAGGTTACGTTTTAATTCTGAACAGATATTAAAGGAGTAGTTCGCTTAAAAAAAAAAACAACTTTTGCTGATAATTTACTCACCCCCATGTCATCCAAGATGTCCATGTCTTTCTTTCTTCCGTCGAAAAGAAATTAAGGTTTTTGATGAAAACATTCCAGGATTTTCTCCATTTAATGGACTTCATTGGGAACCAAACGGTTCAAGGTCCAAATGAGAGTTTCAGTGCAGCTTCAAAGGGCTTTAAACGACACCAGACGATGAATAAGGGTCTTATCTAGGACCCTTCGAGTCATGACTCGAAAAAAAGATTTGTTCATTTTGATTTGAACAGGAGAGTCACGAACACTCATCACAGAACAGAGCAAGGCGAGCATTTGTACTTATAAAACTTAAACTTTTGTATTTATTTTTTAAATGAGCGATCGTTTCGCATGATAAGACCCTTATTCATCATCTGGAATTGTTTAAAGCCCTTTGAACAGTTTGAAGTTTGCACTGAAACTGTCTTTTAGACATTGAACCGTTTGGTACCCAATGAAGTCCCAATTTGTATCACTTTTATTACTATTTTTCACTAAACATTCATTTGACACCTACATACCATTGGAAAAGCCTTTGCGTCATGTCTATGATGTCTAGAATCGCTTCCTACGTTGTTATCTCACCAGGTTTTGGAATGGAGCCAGTATCTCTCTCCTCTTCAATTCAGGGTGCTTCATTATCATGATGTCCTCTCCTAGCCGCCCCCTTCTCTCTCTTATTGACGCTTGTTGTTTAATGGCTCTGAGTGGGCAGTGCATTTTAAGCTCTGATTAATGGAGCAGTAATGATAGGCTAACACCTAGATGTAGCAGGTAATTAAGCATTAATGAGCTGTGCAAAAGCACTCAGACACACAGAGACTCGGTCACACATAGCCACACATCACCGCCAAGGGCTTTAATTGCTTGAAAGTTGCCCCTCCATTTCTCAGGAGACTTAATTGAGATCTCATCGACGGTTCATTCATGAAGCTTGTCTCAGATGTTTCTCTTAAAATGGCTTTGGAGAAGAAATGAGAAACGAGACAATTGCTGATGTAGAGTAAAGTTGCGATCGCATTAGCAAAGTTTTGAAAAAACGCTTTTGTCAATATAGCGTAGCGATGAAGCACTTCATCGACTTTACGAAATCTGCGTGGGAAAAATGTTCACCTTTTTGTTAAACTCTAAAATCTCGTGCATTCCTGAAATACACTATTAAAAAACTGAATTTGAAGTATAATCAACTTGGATATTTCAGTCATGGGGGTTTGATCACTGCAAACCAATCCCGTGGCCGCACACATTTGAAAATGTGTTTGGCTGTGAAAAAGCCTTGAAAGGAAACCTGTGAAGGGATTGGTTCAAGATTTGCAGTATTGGCCGTAACCCAACGGTTTTCTTGGGGAAGCTCCCAAAACTGAACCACTGGGGTATCTCGGCAAAGGAGAAGTGCTCACTAACACATATTTAGACAGATTTATGAACAAAATTTGAGAGAAATAGGCATTTGCAAACAAAAGCGTTTATCTTTTTGTTCAGTGTATATTACTTGAGAAAACTGTAAGTGGTATGAATCTCTTTTTATACTCAACATCTCCTTTATGAAATAGACGAGGGTGAGATTTGGGTGAACTATCCCTTCAGAGAGCTCACATTCGCATTTTTCTATCCTCCGGGAAGCCTTGTAATAAGAAAATGTGGCATTATGTGAAGTGGGGAGAGCAGATGCTTGCTCTCGGATTTAGATAGACATCCTCATTGCCCAAATTATCCTCTTCATGGTGCTTCCTCCAAGATAAGTTCTCCCTCCATTGAAAATACAACACTAAGATCGATTTCAAGTGCAGCTTGTAAGAATTTTATGAAAAGCACAAAGTTCCTGGAGGAGAGGAAGAAAATCTTTGAATCAATTCAATGAAGAAAAAAAAAACATTGAATGTTTTAATTGTGTTTCAGATCCAGTTCCCATTGCAGACGAATCAGTGAATTTCGGACTTTTGGGTAAGAATGCAATTTCATGCGATTGATAAATCTGCACTGTAAAAATGTCACAATCAACATAAATTACATTAAACTGACTTAATAAAATAAGTTGAATCTTGCAGAACTTAAAGGGATCGTTCACTTTGAACTTAATTTTTGATATGTTTTAGCTTACCTCAAGGGCATCCAAGATGTAGGTGTCTTTGTTTCCTCAGTATTTTCAATTGTGACATTTTTCGGTCAAACCGGTGTTGTCTGTCAGTCATATAATGCAGTTTTAGGGGGTCCACCTCAAAGAGCATGCACAGAGAAGTCAAAATTCAACATGATTTAATGACTCGTGATTGTAAGTACACATTGATGGCCTAAGACACGAAACGAGCGATTTGTGTGAGAAAACGAACAGTATTTATATCGTTTTTCATGAATCCGATGTCCAACTGAACCAAACTGAACCGTCTCCAGACGTTTTACCAGGAAGTGATGTAGACTCTCACGCATCTACGTCACGCATTGTTTACACGGAGATTTCGGAAGTTTTACCTTTCACTAAACATATTTAGATATACGGGAAATCGCAATGGAAGACGATTTCGATATATCAAAATATGTTTAGTGAAAGGTAAAAATCCGAAATCTCCGTGTAAACAATGCGTGACATAGACTCGCGAGAGATCACTTCCGGCGTAACGTCTGGAGACGGTTCAGTTCAACGGCTGTTAACAAGAGGTAAAAACTTTATAGATACTGATCGTTTTCTCACACAAATCGCTCGTTTCGTGTCTTAGGCCATCAGTGTGTACTTACATTCACGAGTCATTAAATCATGTTTAATTTTGACTTCTCTGTGCATAATCTTTGAGGTGGACCCCCTAAAACTGCATTATAGGACTGATAGACAACAACGATTTGACCAAAAAATGTCAAAATTGAAAATGCTGTGGAAACAAAGACACCTACATCTTGGATGCCCTTGAGGTAAGCTAAAACATACCAAAAATTCATTTCAAAGTGAACTATCCCTTTAAAAAGTTGAAAAAATTTGTTTAACTTATTTCGATGAGTTAAAGCAATGTAAAAACATATGTTGTCATAACTTGTTGATCATAGTGTGAGTGGATTCAAAATCAGATTTGGACTGACAATGAGAACATGTTTCTAATATGCCAAGTTAAACTTTGATTATCTGGTCCAGGTGTGTTTTATTGGGTTAACTAAACTTTGCAGGACATTGACCCTCCAGGAGGAGGATTGTACCCCTGTTCTATGGCATTGCTGTGAAAAAAAAAACTTTTGGTACCTTTATTTTTAAGAGTGTAACATGTTTTCATTCGTTTCTGTTCTTCTTGTGATTGTCCACTCACCCAGGAGTCTCTGTAATAGCAGTTTTTGTGATGATACTGCTAATGATGGTAATGGTTCTCCGCTACATTGCCCATCAGAAAGGTACATATTACACCAATGAGGAGGACTTAGCGTTTAAGAGTGACCCGGAGGTGCAGGATGTCTCAGAAAGTCTAGAAGATCCAGAAGAAGGTAATAGTCAACCTCCAAAAAAGTTCCTCAAAGATTCAAAACTGAAAACTGACACCTCCTGCTTAAAAACGTATTAATAACTTTTTATCAACTCATTCTCTTAACAGTGTTGACAATCTTTTTTTACAGAGGAGCCTTAGTATCTTCTGGCGGGAAGCCTTTGGGACGTTTCCTGTGTGAAATGTTTCACTGCGAGCGACAGAAGGATCTGTCGTGTCTCATCTTCCTTTTCACTCCAATCACATATGCCTTTTCCAACAGATGTCCTTTTCTGATGGCTTTACACTCAACCATTCCAAAACTAAAATAGGTTCCCATGTGCGTTAGCACTTGTGAGCAAATTATTATCCTCTGAGTGTTAAAGAATTCTTAAATGATATTAAAATGTGATGTTTCTTTTATACTGTAAACATTTACCCTCATAAATTAACACATTCATGTCTCCATTTAGTAATATTTGCATAATATTAAACATAATATGAAGTTCTTTTGCTAATTTACACCAATTTGAATGACTTCAATAAGATAATAATATGAAACTGTCCATAAACTTCGGAACAGATGTGTGTCTGTCTATATATATATATATATAAGTTCAGTATAAAATTAAACGTGTGTGTGTGTGTTTGTTTTATGGATTTTAATATGAACTAGCCTAAAAAAACTAAAATGTTGTATTATTGTATTATTTTGTGTTTTGTTTGTAAGCGTCAGAAAAAAATATTTTAAGCTATGTATTGCTTCAATTACGAATAAAATGATTACAGAAATCGGTAAAAGGCCATTTCAAAGTTTTGCATGTGAACAGACATAAATATAGACACTTATTAACATTCTTGTGAGCTAAAAAACTAATAATAAGGACCATGATTTGACCTTTGATTCGTGTCATATATCTGTGTGTGACTGTATAGAGTGGCAATTTTAATGTACAGAAATATAGACGTTTCGGGGGATTAGAAGAATCCAAGTAAATAAAACTGAGTATTGCTTCATTTTGAATCCAGCTTGATATTTATACAATCTGAACCAACTGAAAATCTGTTTGCTGACCTATATGTGGTATGGATACAGTAATACTAGGCTAGAGCTCTAAAAATATGTACAAGACACAACTAAGGCTAATGTAAACAGTGCGTGACGGTCCACGTAGGAAACAAAAGACAAACAAACAAAGACTGTGGTTGTTTCTCAAAATTAGCATACTGCGCAAATCTAAAGCTATCTCAGAATACGAGAAACAAACCAAACAGCCCAAACATACAGCTCTCCCTTTGTCTACACAATTTGTTGGAAACTGGTACATCTCGCTATACGACGGAAGCCAGTGACCTGATTAGGGCTGGATGAAAACAGTTTCTAATTAGCGGTGAACAGCGTCACCCCCTCAGAGAGTTGAGCTGAAATAAAGTGTCAACAACAGCAGGAAACTTTCAAAGAAAAACTCCGATATAGCATACGTGCTAGGGGAATTAGCCTGTTCCCGAGCTTGCGACTATTATACGACCATGCAAAATACAATTTAGCAGGGAGGAGCTCACACAAAGAGAGCATGGGCAAATACATCAAACGATACGGGTTATTTCTGAGCTATTTGCTCTGCATTGAGGCTCTCCGGAGATGCTATACAACTTACAGCATCCAGACCACCAAACCCTGACGCCAAAAACGACATCTAATCATGCCAACTCATGTTTGATTCAGCTGAGGTGACGTGATGCCTCAAAAACATGTCAGAACTATAATAGCTTCTCTAGATGCGAAAATGAACTTTCCCAAGGTGTTAGCAACCGATTTGTTTATTTGTATTAAATAGGTTAATGATATCCCTGATTCCCCGGCGATGGAGCATCAAGTAATTTCCGCGAATTTTCTGCTGTGGACACGCAGCAAATGAACCCGAACGAAGACCCCCTCCCTGAGTAGGCGACACAATAGGGTCAGTTTGATCCAGCTCTGTTTGGACGTTAATCATCATCAAAAGCGTCAATCCGCATTGATTTCTCATCTCTAAGGAAACCATTGCAGGGAATAAAAACGACAGATATGACAGAGCGAGTTTCAGCCCTCTTTAAAGAGGTCGACCTTTGTCAGAGGAGTCTGAATCAAGGCCATCATCTCTCAAATATCATGTAAATGTAGCAGAATAACATTGTGAGACGCATGCTGCACGTATCGCACATCAACAGCCACATAGACTAAAAGAAGTGTACTCATTTCCTTTAAGTGTACTCATTTCGATGCCTTTAAAGTCATAAGAATGGGCTATATGCACGCATAAGTTCCGCATTTGACGTAAGGATGCTCGTCCATTTCCGGTTGTGTAGATTAAAGCGGAGGAAAACCGGAGAAAAGGGGATTATGGCAGAGTCTTCAATATTTACTGTCCTCCCGTCTTTGAAACGAAACGTACATACGTTTAGATGTAATTTTATATATAGTTATGTTTATTTAATATAATTTTAAAAAGAAGAATAATTTAATATAATTTTAAAAAGAAGAATAATTTAATATAATTCTTTTAATATAAAAGAATTATATTAAAAGAAAAATTTTTATATAATTTTAAAAAGAATATATTTTTTTTGAATGCTAAATTTAAAGTCTTCTAAAGCAATAGGCCTACAGCTAATTTGTTTTAGCGATTTTCAGGCAAGCTTTTAGTCACCACAATTTGCGGAAATTTGATACTGCAACGGTCGTGATATGACGTCACGCTCTCGTGATGAATTCAACATAAATTACTTATGTAAAATATATACAATCTACTCAACTTTACTGCACAAATATCATATTAATTCAGCCAAGAGCAGAGGTCTGATTCTGCCGTTATTGATCTTCTAAAGTGATATCTTCAGTGAATCAGCAACTCATAACCGAACTTGAACTTTGGACTTCCGGTCTGACTCATTTGTGTGGATTGAAGTCAAAGGAACGTAAAGTGCACGTAACCTCTCCATAATCCAAAACAGACGTGGATCGACATGATGATGAGAGTGAGTAAATAATCACAGAACAGATATGAAACAACCTCATTGCTCAATTATGACAGATATTATGTTAGAATAGCTTTTTTGTAGCATATTTGTTTGTTTACTGTGCTAGCTAAAGTAGCACAATATATTCACACATTAGAACTTTGCAACTATCTTTACATTTTTATTTTACTGAGGAAATAAGTTCGTTTATTCATCAGAGCATAGGATGTTTGAGCTGTTGATAAGGGTAAAGGTTTTTAGCCTTAAATAATGTGTTAATGTGATTTAGCAAAGCAGCTTAGCATGGATTTGAGTCTTTTCTATTTTCATGATGCCAGAGTTGTGTGTGCGTGTGTGTGTGTTCATAAGTCCAGAGAGCAGTTGTGAGTGGCATGAATTTAATCCAATTTCTCCATCTCCAGCACTGCGGAGCCAGCCGTAATTCACCCCAAAACATTCTTTTCCTGATGGCACGGGAGTTATGCTAGTCATAAATATGTACAGGTTGGATGTGAGGGAAAAATGTGTTAATCCCATCAATGTTTCATCATCAGATCGATGCCATTGGTATTCCCATGCTCCTGAATTTCCTCCGTCCTCAGTCCCACTCCGGGGTTAAGCGGGCCACATATCCTCATCTAAATGGGATAGTCAGAATTAGCGATAAAGCATTAGCGCAGGCCACCATGGAAACTGCTTAGCTGCTTTGTGAAAATGATGCTATTTCCAGACTTTTTTTTAAACACTCTCCAAATAGACCATGTTTTATAAGCCCTTGACAAATTCTGAGAGAAGTGATGACACTGGTTGAAAATAATTAGCTAGAAAACATGCCTAGCAACTACAGTATCATTTTCAGGCCACATTTCACTACAAAACCTATTTTTATAACTTATTTATTTTTTAAATTACAAAACATTTCTCAATTTTATAACTAACTTACATTTTTTATAGGCCATATGTATATTTGAATCAGTCATTTAAGTCAGCCTGCCCTGAACAATACAAAATGTAAAGTGCTTTCATTATACATCATATATACATTTTGTACGGTTCAAGCTGACTTAAATGACTGAGGTATAATGCTAACATTTCTTTTGCAACAGCTTCAAGTCTTCAGGGACTATTGTCTTTATGAAACCCGACTTGTCTTACAGAACTAAACATAACATAAGGTGAAAACAGAGACAAGGTAAGATTTCTGTTTCATATTCTTGGTTCCCCTAAGGGTTTGAAGAAGTGGACTAGAGGAGAGCCGCTCAGCGTTACGTCAGCTGGAGACAATAAACCGAACGGAGCCATCCATCATGAGCGCTTGATTCTGCTGACAGCACGTCAAATCCCATTGATCTCCAGGGGAACCTTCAGGATCGCTGGCGGCACTCTGATGTGACGAAAATTCAGGTTTACCTCTTTCTGGCAAACTTTATATGACATGCCCCCAAAAATTATGTTAAAAACGTATGATGGTAACAAGGTTTTCTATTTCGTGTTAACCCGTCCAACTCACTGACCAATTCTAAGTGAATGATAAAAATCATTAAATGACACCAGAAAGCTTGTGGACAACTAAGGATATCGTGGGATACGATATCCCTAGTTGTCTATGATACTTTACAGTATTTTTGGGGTACTTTCTGAAAATGAAAGATTTAACCCATTGCAATTGCAAAGAAAAAGCAATCAGCACAATCTTCAGAATTTCTCCTAATTTTGTTCCACAAAAGAAATACAGGTTAGGAAAGACATAATTAACCTCACAATTTCACTTTAGATTGACGCACACACACGTTTTTTTGTTACAATAATGATTTTGGAGTACCATGGTCATTTTCTTTTCTTTTTTTTATCCTATAGATCCAAGTCCACGGTTTGGTGAAAAAAAAAAATCATAAATTCCCCACATGCAGTGCTTCGTCACAGAAATGATTTGCCTTCGATCCTTTTATGGGATTTTCAAAATGTCATTTGAAATGGAAAGGTGGTGTGCAGTTTGGAAAAACAGCTGTCACGTTCCCTTTTCTCCCCTGGCCTTTGAGTGCATACCTTCATAATGCATAAATAACTCTCCTAGGGTTTTAAAGTATTTTATTACTGGTCTAAAGTACCACTATGGCACAATTCAAAAAAGAGTCTTTCTTTTCCATCTCAGAAATCATAGTTATTGAAAAGATATGTTCAGAGGGGAGAAAATTGTATGTCAGAATGTGTGCGTCAGTGTAAAGACTGGCTCTGCACTTGTTCTCCTAGGTCATCAATTTACATATGCTTTTTTAATTGTTTGTATATAGGCCAATACAAATTACATTACCAATTTGAGCTTTTTTATCTTTTTAATTATGTAAAAATGTTCATTTGAAGCGTGTGACATCCAATCTTCTTTTCCGTAATTGTTGTGAGGTCCAAAGACATTTCACAAGCTTTAAGTCTGGTGTGACCTCCCCTTTAATGTCCTAAATTGTATATCTATTAACACTGGGTGAGACTCATGTGCTATCAGTCTATTCACACCACAGAGTTGTACAGGTTTCTGTATGAATGATGTTGAGACACAGTGATCTAATTGAGAAATAATCACCTAAAGAGTTCCAGACATTTTTAGATCTGCTTTGGACTCATTAATGGTCGAGATTTGTAACACCTGCTTAGGAAAAGTGCTGTGTCAAGAAAAGAAGATTAAAGCCAAGAGTGCTTTATTTCTCAGCAAGAAAATGTCTGCACACACACACACACACACTCGCAAACACATACCCTTGAGGCCCTGCCCATTATCTGTCTGACGTGTAAAATGTTCCTTGCAGCGATCGATGAAGATCAGGTCCAAGGAATTGATAACCTTATAAAGCCTGTAATTACTTTCCTTCCTCGGCAACGAGCAATAAAGTTTTTATTATGGATCTCTCCGCTCACTTCGCGAGTCTTAGACAGTGAGGGATGTTAGAAATTAAAACTCACAGACTGTGATTGTTTCACCGACTGAAAATGCACGGATACAGTTGATTGAAAGTGAACTTCGCTGATGAACAGAATTTCAAGGGCAACCTGGGCTCCTATGTCATTCTCTTCAACGTGGAGGTCTGGGAAGAAACTAATGTCCCTTCATTAGCTGTAAAACAGTAAGTCAATTTGATTGGTTTCTGATGTATGTTTTTTTTTTTCAATTAAGTATGTTATTTCAATGTAATCTTGATCATAAATTTGGTTGTTTTTGTATTCCTACGCTTATAGGAGCTGCGTTTGAATGAATGGAAATGGCTGGCAGAGGGATTTCCCAAGACGACAGTAAAAATGTCACCACATGAAAAGTCTTCGGTTCACACCTGGCAGGTTAGTGCGGTTCATTTAAAAAAGTGTGAACGCTGCCATCTGAATCCTGGTGCGCACCAAACAAACGGACCGAGAACCCTGAAAAATAATAGGGCTTGCTTATATAGGCATAAAACAAAAGCTATTTTAGATGTTAACATGACATTTTGATTAAAAAATTACAAGACAATATTTTCTTTTTCTTTTGGAATGATGTGCCAAACTAAATTGTTCAAAATACTCTAAGACCAAGTAACAGCAAATATAGTCAATTGTGGCTTCATATTGACAATGTTACTTGGTAAAGTTCATGGAATTGAAAAAGATTGACCTCAAGATGTCAGACATTAATCTTCCACTAAAAATCCCAATACAGCTTTCTGTCTCTCAATTCCTCCCTTTTGTAGTCCTGCTCTGGATGGAAACATTGCTAAATCAATGATAAATCCCACTGAACAAAATCATATTGATAAAACATAATGACATAATAGAGTGCGAACCCAGAAAAATCAAGTTAACGGATTTGATGTCAGTTGTCGGCCAGACACGGTTGTAGTCAGCGTGTAATTGGAAATGGAGTGAATGAATGTTGAAGTGTGGTAGCAGATTTCGGGTTGTCCTATGTGGATGATAATTCAGCTTTGCATTACAGGAATAAAAATACATTCAAAAGCATAAAAATCCTACCGACTCCAAACTTTTGAACAGTAGTGTACATGAAACATTATTGGGGACTTCATTAAAGGGGTGATGAACTGAGAAATCAAATTTTACTTAAGCTTTTGACATCTAAGAGGTCATCATATTATAAGAATATCCTGTAAGTTTCAGAACTGAAAACGTCCTTGTTAGTCCAATAAAAGCTTTTATTGACACCAGGCTCAGCAAACAACTTGTTTTTCAAAGTGGGGAACTATGACGTCAAAGAGGATAAAACACCAACCCTGCAGAAGAAGATCGACGCCTACTTCACCACGGCCGGTTTAGTTTTATTAAACGCATAGCTAAATAACATAGATGCCTACCTTGTGATGACAAACCGGATCGAGCTACCGAGCGCAAAATATTGTGCAGCGCCTGGTTGTGGAAGAAGACAGTCGCTGCATAAGCTTCCTCTGGATTCCAATAGAACTGCATGGATAAACTTTATTTTTAATGACGGGGTAAAATATTATCCGTCTGTTCGCTTCATTTCACTGAGGATTGTTTTGCATTTTACATTTGCAGACCGATTAAGATTAAAGAACGGTGCTGTGCCGTAGGGTTGTGACGGTGAGGATATTTTCTCACCGTTTAATCGACGTGTGACAACACCGGTAATACCGGTGTCATCGCCGGGGGCTTTTAAATCGCTAATTTAAAGGCAAACCTAAAATGCGCACGTTTTCACGGGCATACATAACGGTGCGGTAGTGCGGGTAAGAACTGTTTTGTTATTGTGCCCTGAATATGCGCTAGTTTGAAAACGAAACTAACTTTTGATTGACAGACATGTGATCTGACCAATCAAAATCCACCATTTTTGTCCGACAAAGCAGTCAGGAGAGTTATGGATTAACGTCGGTGGAACTTTGCTTTATCAGGCAATTTGTCACGACACATTAAAGAGCCACAAAACGGTAGGCCTATTTATTGTTTGATTTTTCTTTGACTCACCAAATTTGAAAGTTGAGACTGTTTCATATTAAATATTACCTGCGCGGTCCTGTCTGTCAACGCGTTGTCCAACATGACATCATGACTTTTGCGTAAACATATACGCCACTTTCGAGTCAGGTGGCATGTTATCTCTACGCATTTTGAGCTATCCGCGTGTATGCGTATATGTCGACGCCATTAACGTCCGCGTCATTCCGCGTGTATGTACACGCAGTCAAATCTCCAGTCATAAATGCCATTAACCCCAGTGACGGTTAGGTTTAGGGACGGGGTTGAGGTAAGTCATATATTTATATAACGTCAAGTCAACGGCGTTCATAAACACGCTGAAAGGCGATTATGCGTCTTGATAGCACGCCAAAAATGGAAATACGAATTGGCGTGTCATACACACGCTACTTCATGAGATCAGCCTGCTTTGTCAGTGTCCTCTGTTTTTCACTGCTTGAGAACATGGGTTGAATCCGAAATCGGCCCCCTAAACCGTCATTTACTAGGCCTATTCCCTACATTAATCCACTAATACTGTTCACTTGAAAATAGGCTAAAACCAAGCGAATGTCATGAACATAAGTTGACCTCAGACAACAATATAATATTTAAAAAGCCAGTTCATGACCCCTTAAAGTTTTGAAGGAGCTATGTCTGAGCACTAACATTTTCATCTGGACATTGGGAAATAGCTGTAGAAATTCTCAAACAGTTCTTGAAGGAATTACCTTATTACCGGGATGTACATGTTCATTCTGAAGTGAACCAATAACTTCTCTCTCAGAAATCATGGTTCCTTCCAAGTCAGACGTGAGCCATATATGACAAATGAGAAGCGACAGGCTTCGTTTCGAGCCGGTCTGTAGCGAGCACATGCCTTTCTGATAGAGCAAATCCATTTCAACTCTATTGAAAGTATCAAAAGAATAGATATGTGTTCATTTCATACTCGGCTCGAGAGCTCAAAGTAATCTGGGCTTAGCGAGTCCCTCTCATGAGAAGCACGAGAGGGAGGGCGAAGAGGATAGAAACTGTTCAAACAAAGTGAAGTGGATGAGACATTAAATTAGAAATGTTCTATTTGGCGGCCTGGTGGATTCCAACTGACGCGAGTATGAAAGGGCTTTACATAATCGTGAAACAAAAGGTGAAAGACTGGCACGGCTTTAGCTAGTTGTTTCACCCCGGAATTCGCATTGGCTGCTGTAATGAAGACGTCCTCGGTGACATTGTGCGGCCACGGCGTTGCTAAAGGAAAAGAGGTTGAGTGGCCGCTATTTGAAAAGCCATTATGGCTTTGATATGTCACGGCCGTGTGAGGTTCTGTAGGATAAGCAGTTCCCTTCGCAAATTGCACAACAGAGAGAGAAAGTACTTGCAGAAGACTTTGTTCAGTGGAGCGTAGCCGTTAGAGCACTAGGTTATGAAGTTTAATATTTTTTGGCGGCCATTCAAAGAAAATAACACAAGACGGATGCTAGGTCCCTACTGGTAAACACGGCACAATCCTCAATACTCTTCTGAATGTCACAGAGAACGAGTGTGTGTGTCTCAGTGGACAAAGTGTGGTGTTTTCATTCCTCTGTGCACTAGTTATTATGAGGGGCTGGATAGCATGGCGTATTAGCATGATAGCTTGGAGATGCTAGTGTCATGCAAGATCCATGTGCTAAGACTGGATATTTTATTCATTACGTCATTATAAATGATTATAATTGCTTTATCAATCATAAAAGTTTGTTCATGCATTTTAATTTGCATATAACTATATTCACCTATAGGAAAACACCTTGAAACCCTAACAACACCACAGCAACTCTTTGGCAACATGGCAAGATTTTTACCTCAACAATTTCTATTTATTGTTAACTAATTACTCAATTGTTGAGTTAATTAATTCAAATTGCGTCAATATCACATTACACTGTATTATCGAAGCTAAAAAATGGATAAATGTTCCCTGTGCTTTGAGTTAGCCTTCGATTAGCAAGCTAACAGCTTGCTGGCTTAGCATAGAGCTGCTAGTCCTTTTGTTAACTTCGACAAGAAATCACGATAACGTGCTATGTTTTTGGACAGGCATTGGGGATGCACCATCTGGATCCTAAAAGCAAATATCTACAATGAAAGTCATTCAAAATTAGATATGAAATCTTTTGCAGTTTACCAGGCCCAGTTCTTTTTGGAGGGCTCCTTTTTAAAATGTAAGACTCATCTGAAGTCAAAGATATAATACTCAAAAAATTATAAGAGGCAACAGTTAAAGTCGCTTTAAAGTAAAGGAAAGAAGTGAACAAAAGAAAGACAATGTAGATAAATGAGCCTGGAGTTTTAATGAATACCTTTGTTGTTCTTTTGAAATTTAAAGTAGATCCCATCCCTCGTTCCTCAACTTGATGAAGAAAACAGCCTGCCACGCTCTGAGCAGAGGCGGAGCGATCTGTCTTCATCGAACCACAGAGGAACGGATTCCTCTACGGGGGAAAAGTGCTAATTGCAGTTAAACTTTTTCGCTAAAGTGCCGTCGCTGCGAACAATCAGTCGCTCTGCCGCAGACAATAGAGACAAATCAAGGAAAACTCAACCTACATAAAACAATTAACCATCCAAACATCCGCCCTGCTCGCAGAGGGTATTGTCTTCGGTGATGAATACTCTACTTGAGGTAAGAGGTGAATATAAGTCTCAAAAGGTTTTCTATGGTGCCTTTTCCGAATAGAAAACTTTAGACTTGCAGCATAAACTTGCGGTCCATTTTGCAGCTTATTCTTGTCAAGAACCACTTATTTCAACAGGAAGTGACTGTTTAATTGACATTTAACGTGATTATTAGTTCACAGATTGTATTCGGCACAATACTTAAAATTCAAACAACAACTAATCTGATTTGACTTGGACACACACACACAAATCAGCTTTTTTTTATCCCTATTTGAACAAAGCCCATAGAGAAGAGTTTTAATGTAAAAGGGTTTTTTGAGTGCTTGGGTATCAGAGTATGTGTGTGTGTGTGCGCATATGTTGTTGAGCAAGCATACTCTACACTGCAGTTTATCAAATCACACCTTCAAGGTCACTATTACAGCACAGCCTCTCTCTCTCTTTCTGTCTCTCTCTCTCTCTCTCTCTCTTCGTCTACTTCTCTCTCTCTTTCCATTTCCTCTGGAGCATTTTTCAGTTGTGCTCTGTTTTCTCAATGAGATAACGTACCGTTTTACCCAGCTGTCTCCGCAGCTTTAAATGCATGACTACCCATTCCAATCTCCCTATTGGGGAACAGAATGAGTCTACTTTACTTCAGTGGGGTCCGCCGCAGGCCAGCGAGCCTCTCCAGGGGACAATGCGTTTAAACGCGACGTATCCCACTGGCC